TATATATATATATATAATGTAAATATTGTATATGTATAATATGTATTTTGCTAACAAGTATGTAAAAAAATGTGTAAAGTCACAATTGATTTTTAAGACCATTTTAAGAAATGTCTTAAGATATTAATATAGCTCTGTAATTGGCTTATATTTTAAAATTATATTTATAAAATAACAATAATAATGAATTCGAAACTAATAAAAGTTAGCGGAAGAGAGTGCGCAATATTACATAGAACATAGGTCAACTTAACTCCATTTCTGTGATGTCTTTTTTATTCAAGTGTCAAACGAGTTTAAAAAACGGTTGGTCGTATACGCACCGACTTAAAAAAAAAAAATTTCTATGCAAAAGATGTATGCTGCATTAATTTTCAAGATAGTCAAAATATTATATTTTGAGTTTCACTTTGAAGACATCACTTTAAATTATTTCCCGCAATATATTATATGAATACATAAAAATATCAAGGATATTTACCTTTTTGCCACTTATCACTCTTAGCAAATGATATGAATTCAACACCACCAGATGATTTTAACAAGGTTTTGCTGATGAAAGGTGCTTGTTTAATACGCTTCTGATTAGCCGCGTCCGTAAGCACCGGAAACATCATGGCGAATGTAGCGGGGATGTTTCTCCTATATGCTATTATTTGATTATACATCAATTGTCGACCGATAAGATCAAATTGATCATCGTCCACGGAGATGCACAAAAAGCTCTGTCCATACTGCATTCCGGATGTCGGATAATCATATTCGGATCGGTTTCCCAAAGTCGAAGTCTCATTCACTGGTATCTGAGAACATTTTAGTTTAAAGAAAATCTACATCTAAAATATCTTGTATATTATAAAACATTGCCATAAAGTTGAATGAGCTATTCAGATAAAACATTGCTTCGGTCATTGAATAATGACACTCGCATGGAATATAAAATATTCAGTTCGACTCTCGGCCGAGAATATTTTTCAAAAGAAAATTATTTATAAATACTTATTAAGATCACACATTATTAAGATCTGAAGATGCTTATAAGCATCAATGCAAATTATTAAATTGCTTGTTAATTGTGATATTATTACTCCAGCTTCAATTCAGGGCTGTGTTTCAAGACAAATTATGACTGTTACAGTTAGCTTGGAAATTGTATAAATTCATAAAAAATATTATTAGATATGAAAAATCCAACCGAATATGGTATTTTTTACATGTTCAAAACATTATTATTTTTAATTATTAAATTAATTATTATAATCAAAATGTTAGAATGACTGATAGACTTTAGAAAATCTATGAAAAAGAGACTTTTTCATTAAAGACTTTTTTTTAGAAAAAACGAAATTAATCAAGATAATCAATATTTGTATATAATTTGTTTATCTAGCTATTTTGCCTATTAATAAAATTATCAGGCATTTATGGAAAATACTGAAATAACATAAAATATCGATATTCTTAAGACTCTTGTACATACTCGTTTTGTATCGTTGCCGCTGTTGGGTACGGGTGGATAATTCGGAACGCTATGTATTAACCAGAAACCCTCTTGTTTGTGTGCCATCATAGTGCCTTTTGTATGACCATATTTGGCATGGGTAGATCTGTTAGGTGGATCATCATTGTATAAGACCCAGAAAGTCTTCGATGCTAT